TTTCTGCTTCTTCGCAGAATGCTCTCAGATTTCCCTTGTAAGGTGTCTCCCTGAAGTTCTCCAGTAGTTTGTAGTTCGGTGTTTGGGGTTTAAATTCTGCAACTAGTCTCGATCTAAGGGTAGGCCAATCTTCAATGTTCGGAAGGCCCAATGATCGTGTTACGTGTCCGTCCAAGTTTCTTTCGATGGCTCCAAGAAGAATCCTCTGTTGTCGCACATCATTAGTTTGGTAGAGTGAAATTACATAGTCCACTCTGCTGACGAAAGTGTAGAGAGTTTCTGGATCACCCTTAAATGGCATGATGTCTTTTAGTTGCCGACGAGCTAGGTTGTTGTCGCTTAGTGCAACGATTTGGGGTGCGGCGATAACTGGTTGTGCCATTGTTACAGTAAATTTGTTGTTATAGTAAAATAAAAATTTATTTTAGTTTCTTTTTGATTTCACTTTTTAAAGTTCAAGTGTTTGTTTAAATTAATTTTCTTAAAATTTATTTGTTGTTATTAACTTTTAGGTGCCGTTGGACTTATTGTGTTTTTGTTTTGTTTTGTTCTTCCACTTTTTGTTGGACAACCGAATTGGAATTATAATCCAACTTGAAGTGTTTTAAAACGGTTTGCGTAATTATTGTTCGAGAACTGAATTATAAAATTTAATTTATTTTTCACTCGAGGTTCTTTTTTTTCGGATACCTTTTGTATCCTACCGACTGCGCCAGTGAAGTGTTTCTGTTTTGTGAGTCGAACTAATGTCCCGTCAGTTGACTAAGGACAACGCTACAACGAATATTCCGCTTCACGTCTTTATTCAAATGATCTCAGCTTAAGACTAAATTATTGTGACAAAAATCTTACTTCTACTGCCCTTTGTTTACAAAAGTTGGGGAGCGAGATCGTCCGCTTGGGATATTGATTGAAGAATTATTTATGTTATTGAGAAGGAGCATTGCTTGCTCCGGATGTGGATTGTTTACATTGGTTCAGCGTGGGATCGCCTATGCTGCAGATTCATATTTCTTGGAACTTAACAGAATTTGTGAATATGTCACTATATATGATAAGTATTCGAATATATTACATTTGATAGTAATAATCGGATATACTTATATAATGCTACACAATATATTTTATACATGACATCACATTGGAACATTAGGGTATAAAGAGTTCGAGGAGTCTGAAAAATATGCCAAGATCAGCAAATTTTGGTGTTTGCGCTTTCCCTGTAGTCCCACATGTCACCAATAGGGCACTGTCATCAACAATTTATCAACGTGCCGAATCTTAAAACCGACTCTTTCGAGCTCTTATTTTCTCTTGGTTGATAAAACATTAATGAAAAAACACAGAAGCACATGGGCATTAGACTTCTACATGAACGTACTCATTTGCAGCACAACAGTTCTGTACAGTAGTGTAGTGTTATTAAAAATACTGCACTCGTTCCTTACTGTACAGTATTCTATATAGGCCAGAAGAAGATAGCACAACATTTTCAGAATAACAAACAGAATATGGTTGTACTCTTCGTGAGTGAGTACTATATTTGTCTCTTTTTAAACAGCTGTGCAGCTTCTTAGTTGACTGTGTACAACTGTGCAGATGAGTGCAGTATTTTTTACTAAGTGCATAAACATGGATTGCAAAGAAAACGATGCTAGTGCAATGAACTCACAAGATAATGTAAGTTTTTGTGATAATATATGTATATGTTTTGTAACAAAGTATATGTGTTGTTTAATAAGTTTGTGATTGTCTTTTGTATGTTTGAGGTTATTTAGTGCCAGAGCCCAACTCAAAAACAGTGATTGTTAAATATACATACATATGTATACAAATGCTACATTGTGGCCAATAGCAAAAAGCGCAGTCTTCTTGTCGTTGATGTGCCCTCTGAAACCAAAAAGAAATGCACCAATCTGACAACGGAGTGGACAATAAAGAATGGTCGACCGTTTAATCTAATTGCGGACACTGGTTTAAAAAACTTAGCACATTTTTTTACTTCTGTCGGTGCGAAACTGGAGAAAACGTCAATATTGACTCTTTACTGCCGCATCCCACAACTATATCGCAAAACATCAGTGCGCTCTATGATTTTCACTTTAATGAAGTAAAAATCTAAATTAGAAAGCAGAAAAAATACGGATATAGAATAACTTCGGATATCTGGATAGACGATTGTTTCGAAGAATCTTATATTTCACTGACTATGCATTACGTCAAAGAAGGCACCCTTAAAAATCGCCTGCTTGCAGTGAAATCAATGGGTAGAGCCTCCTATACCGGTAGGAAGTATAAAATGTTATCGGAATATATAATAAAATATATACATATATTATCCAAATTTTTTAGGTAATGAAATAAAAAACGAAATAGTTCGAATCTTACGTGACTTTGGATGTGATTTACTGATGGCCGATCCAATAATTGTTACCGACCGAGGAGCTAATATGAAAGCGGCATTCAACGGACTGAGCACAATACATTGTGCAAATCACTTGATCCACAATGTGATTGGCAAATTTGTGAATGAAGTACCAGAATTGCTGGATATGGTATATCGCAGCAGCAAGCTTGTTGAGTATTTTAAAAAATCTGGAATTTAACAAGCACCCTAAAAAGCTACTGTCCAACTCGTTGGAATACAATATCTAACCTCTTGAAGTCTGTTGAGCTAAATTGGATGGAAATTTCGCAGATTTTGGTGGAGAAAAATGAATTAGCAAGAATTAATTTAATTTAATTTAATTATTTTATATCTATTAATATAATTAATATTAGCGGAATGGTGAACCTTCTTGCCCCTTTTGAATGTTGATCCAAAAAGCTGGAGGGTAGTTATTATGCAACATTGCACTTGACTGGTCCACATATTAATAACTTAAAAAAAATATCCTCACCAAATGAAAATGACATAGAAATAGTTAAAAAATGCAAACTTTCGCTTTTAGAGTACTTAGATTCAATATAAATAGAAAATTAAAAAAATATCACAATATTGCCCTGTTTTTGTTTCCACTCACTAATAAATTAACTAAATTCTCAGAATTAGAAAAGGAACTTTTAAAGACGTAGAAGAAATGATGATTAGTAATCATATAAATATATATGATATAGAAAAATTAATTAAACCTGCACAAGACATAGATAATATATTTGCAGATTATTCGGAACCTGTTGAGAGCTTTAATATTTTGCAATATATTCAGGATGGACTTCAAACATATAAAAATATAAATAAAGCGTACAGTGATAATTTTAATGTTCTGCAGTGATGGTCAATTAATAAAGACCGTTTTTCTTTACTTTATCAAATTAGCTGCAATGAAGGTCAAAAGAATGTTTGCCGAGGTACGACATAAAACGAACAAGTGAACTGCTATCCAACCGCAAGCGGGATATTAGCAGGATCACGGCAGTCACCACGGTACAATGGGCAATCAAAACGCACGCAATGAAGATGGGGCTGCCACACAATACAATCTGTAGAAGCTGTAAGCAAGATACAGAGCAAGAGACACCGGAACATCTGCTCTACTTCTGCCCAGCGCTAAATCACATCAGACTTCTCCATTTTGGTGCCTACCAGATGGAGTCACTGGGAAGTATAGGAAAGCTGAAAGTTTCGGCAATCCTAGGTTTCCTTACTGACTGTGGTTGGTACTGATAGCGATCAGGATCACCAACAACAAACAGAGGGAGTGGATTAAAGCTTAGCTCTAATTGGAGGCCCTAGTATCGGGCCTCACCACTGTAACCTTCCCTACTTTACTAATTTTGAACACATAAAATTCAATGTTTTGAGAATGTCCATTAAAAATTTCGCGTCTCTAAAAAAAATTATTTTAGAAGTTACAGAACTTTTGCCAAAATATTAACTTCCTCGCCCACAATGCAGTGCGTTGACTACTGTCACTAAGCAAGAAATATTTCTTGCTTAGTGCTACTGTACACCAATTTCGCTGCACTCATCAACAGCTGTACAACTATGAAATGAATGAGAACACTGTCAATCGAAACCGACAATACTATCCTACTCACTCACACCCAAATATACTGTGCAGAAAAAAAGTGTACCCACCTTTAGAGTAAGTGATTGATTTGCGGTTTTGGATGCATTCATGCAGAAGTCTAATAGGCATACCATCAGTAAAAATCAGTATGTAGATTGTCATGCATTCTCCCTTTCTCAATAATATAAGCCGGGTGATTGCGTTTGCGTTTTAAAATTTGAAGAAGTTAGGAGTAATATATGGACATATGTATTCTACCTGGCAAACGTGAAAGAAGGTAGGAAAGAAGGAAAGAAAGAAGGTGCAAATTAAAAATAAATGTTTCGACCCAAAATGATGATATGTTAATAAAATAAATGAACAATGTAATTCAAGCTACGATCATCAAGGGCTAATTTAAAGGAGAGGAAGTCCGATGGATACCAAGAATTCCAAATGGTCTTCCATTTCAATATGACCGGATTTAGGGGTAGATCTTTTTCTGCAAATCCCCACATGACACCCATATAGAATAATTGTAGATACATATATATTTTTATAAACATCAATTTATTTCTTACCGATTGCGCCTTAACACTGGAGGAATTCAATTACAGTTATACTGTAGTTCCTATGGTTGGTATATACACATATACATCTGGCCCATTACGACTTATATACTAATAAGAATATAAATATGACTATCTGCTACGTTGCAATCAGATAGCTTAAAAATTGAGGGACAACTGTGGGTGAAGAGCGGACAGAAGGAAATAAGTAAATCGACTCGGTTTTAAATGGTTGCAGACGTTATACTAAAAACCTTTGGAAAAGTATATTCCGGTTCTAAAATTGTTTCTGCATTTGTAACTATACATAGTAAATAAGCCTTTTTTCCGTTCATTTTAATTTCACCGACAATGCTGAGTCGTCTCACTGGGACTTAGGTGCCCAACTTGCTTTTTACTGTATTCCCGAATACCTTACACTTCACAAATTTTTTAAAAGTTAGAGAAGAAATTTCTGTTTATTTATTTGAAACAATTTGGTTTTTCTCCAATAAAGTGACAAATTGATTAATATAATCCCAAGGAATGCCATATATCAACGATGAAAAAAATGAATGTCAATCCAACATTTTAGTTAAATTTTGGTCACAATTACACCGTAAGTCTATGAATGGATTGGAACTTATATATATGTATGTACATATGTATCTCAACTGATCTAGCACTGTTAATCTTATTGAGACTGAAAATGAGCGGAAGCTAATTCTCTGTGGCTGGTTTTCGGAATAGTATTGGTTTACATCAGTTTTCCTTTTTTCTTTCGGAGAGTCAGTGAGTTTTCTTCATTATTTAATTCTGGGGAATAGTAATTAACTGCACGAGGGCTTAATTCATACTCTACCAATCTTTTATCACTCCTCTCTAAATTTTTTGTTTTCATGGGTCTGCCCCTGCAAGCATACTTCAATTTTGAATTCAAACGCTGAAAGTCCGACCTGCCCGACCAGGTCTCTGACAGGTAACGCTCTCTTGGCTTCTCCTCGGGCATATATTTTGCGTTGTCTTGTTCACTTAGGTGTAAGGGAGTAATCTGATTTGTGTAAGCACTGGACCACTCAGTAGTGTCCGCTTGAAAACAAGCTCCTGTTGCATCGGCCAGGTCATCTAGACGACTTCGAAGCTGACAGATTATCTTTTGCTGCTTAGCGCGAACGTTACCCAGAGTGGTTGAGTCGCAACGCAGACTGGGAAGCTCACCCCACCTGCAGTCACGCCCATCTACTCCATGGGTCGCCATGTCCTCCAGTTCTTTAAGCAAAAAGTTCTTTTCGCAGGCCGTTGCCGATGATATCTGACGCAAGTGGAACTGAATCTTAGCATACTGCGAAGATATCGTAAAAAGTGCCTCTTGCAGATGCTCCACGTCATCTTCGAGCTGACACTCGTAGGCGGTCAGTTCCCGGCTGACTAGGTTGCCATCAGAGTCGAGTTCGGTGTATAGTCGCATATTCCTCGGGAGAGATTTACATTCAATACTCGATGTATTTTCGGATCCTTTTTTATTTGTAGTATTCATTTTATGGAGAAATAGAATTTAGATTGAAGTTACTGAGAAGTAATTTCGAAACGACGAAATGTAATTTTGAGAGAAGCAAACAAATAAATATGAAGTTTTTAGAAATTACTAAATAAAGGTAATAAGTTTATATCCACATATTATATTTAGGTAACATTATCTGCAACATATCGATATAGCACTGCACTTTTCGCACATTCTTGTAGTTAAGCGCGTTCTTCTTAAAAATACTCGTTTTTAAGCAATTTTAAGTTTTTGGCCGCGGTGGACCTTTCTGGAGAATATATGTTAAACTTAAAAATAATTATTGGAAGAAGAACAAACATCCACAAATGGCGGAGATATAGTTAGTCTCATAAAGCAGTTTTTATCTAAAACACCAAAAAAACATTTGTTTTAAGTATTTAAATTTACCTACAGTACGACGTCGCCGTTAAACAATTTTTTTTATCAAATGCGAGCACCTTGCAAAAGAGAATTTTTATACCCTTGCAGGGTATTATAATTTCAGTCAGAAGTTTGCAACGCAGTGAAGGAGGCACCTCCGACTATATAAAGTATATATATTCTTGATCAGGACCAAATGCCGAGTCGATCTAGCCATGTCCGTCTGTCCGTCATATTATTCTACAATTTTTATGTAAAATTTGATGAAAATCGGACGACTATATCATATAGCTCCCATAGGAACGATCGAGAAAATAATTCAATTAAAAAGTATAACATTTTCAGTTTTCAACAGATTTTCATCAAATTTGAGATATGCCGTTTCATATTATTCTACAATTTTGTGTAAAATTTTATGAAAATCGGACTAATATATCATATATATATATATAGCTCCCATAGGAACGATCGAGAAATTTGAGAGGAATGAGAATGGCGGTGGCTGTTGTCGGAAGACTGACAATCGCGGTGGCGATAACATTTTTAGTTTTCAACAGAATTTAATCAAATTTGAGATATAGCCATTTCATATTATTTTACAATTTTGTGGTAAATTTTACGAAAATTGGACGACTATATCATATAGCTCCTATAGGAACGATCGAGAAATTAATTCAATTAAAAAGTATAATATTTTCAGTTTTCAACAGATTTTCATCAAATTTGATACATAGCCATTTTATAAGAAATAAAAGAAGTTAATAAAATTAAAGCTTATAACTTCTTCAGTTTTCACCAGATTTTCATCAAATATCATTTTATTTTAATCTAAATGTTGTGTAAAGTTATAAAAAAAACCCGACTACTATATCACGAACGATCAAAAAATGAATACAATTAAAAATTATAACGTTTTCAGTTTTCAGCAGATTTTCATTAAATTTGAAATATAGCCTTTTTATATCATTCTTAAATTTTGTTGCAAATTTTATGAAAATCTGACGACTATATCACATAGGTGCCATACAAACGATCGTTAGATGTGGAGCAAAAATGCAAATCTGTGAATGTAAAACTGAAAATATAATATGTATAGGTGAATAAAATGAGAACAGGTATTACTTCATTGTTTTTTTTAACATTAATATATATATATTTTATATTGTATGGAAGGAATCCAGGAAGTCATCGAAGTTCTATCTGCAAGGGTATATAAACTTCGGCGTGCCGAAGTTAGCTTCCTTTCATGTTTTATATGAAATTTCTTTATATATGGCAGCTATAGTCGTCCCATCCGAATAACCGACTAACTAGAAAGATTCATTCAGATAGCTTCAAAACTAAGAGACTAGTTTGCGTAAAAACGGACAGACGGACATAGCTAGATCGACTCGGCTGTTGATCCTGCAAACTTCAGACTGAAATTATTATACCATGCAAGGGTATAAAAATATTACGTCATGCAATACAAAATTTTATAGAGAAGCTGTGTAAAAAAATTAAAAAGAATCGGTCGAGTACTTTATTCATGTACACCATTGCAAAAAAAATGTAGTTTTGGGAAAAACGAAAAAAAGATAATAAAATACTTTAAGGTATACCTGGAGCGCTCTCTTCTAATCACTGTAAAATCCACAAATCTTTAGATTTATTTAAGCCCGAAGTTTTAAAATGACCGTAAGACCATATCGGCATCGAAAGTATATCTAACCCTTTAAGCGATACAGAGCGTGAAAGGATAATGGAACTTTGATAAATGGGGATGTCAATACGCAAAATTTCAAAGAAATTTGGCATAAGTAACCAGACAATGGAAAACTTGCTGACGAATGGGAGAAGCGCAGCGTGTACCCTGAGTGAACTTTGGCCGGTCTTTGGTCTTTTAGATGTTGACATTTATGAATGAAAGCATTGTTGTTTAACAAATTTAAATGAATAACTGTTCTTATATTAGTTAAAACAAATATAAAAGCGAGCCTTTAAAATTTTTTTAATTTCTTTTTTGGTACACTGATAATGCTTAAAAGGTATTCTCATTTTTTTTTTATTTGAGATTTCCATTTTGAAGCTAGAAGAGAGGCGAGCGGTTTGCAATAATCTGAAGGTTACAAAACTAATAGTTTTTACTACAAAATATTTCTTAATGAATCAAGTATGCTATGCATAGCATTACACCAATGAATAAAATACTTTACAAATTGCATTATCGCAGTAATTCATTTCTGTTTTCGCGGATCTGAAAATGTGTTTACTTAAACAAATAAACAAATGGAAAAGGCTAATTTTCTTGATCCAATTGTGATAAGTCTCCAAGAATAATTAAATATAAAATATTTATTCTTTTGAAACTCCTTTATCAAACTCCCTACAAATTATTTGTAGTTTTCTATTTTATCGAGATATAGGATGGCCTTACACATGGCAAAGTACTCAAATATGTACTTAAATAAAAGTAAAAAAGTAGAAGTTGGTTTATAGTTTAGTTTGGTTTATAGTTTAGTATATTATTTCTTTGGTGTGAATAACTAACAAAAATATATAAATATAGAGAATTTAAATAAAGGATAAACATTGACGGTTTGTTAGCACATTTTTTTCTACTTCTATTTACGGAACAGTATTTTACACCACCTTTGAAAAAAAAGTTTAGACCGATAATAGACAGCCAGAAGGAGACATCCGATCTAAAATTTATATTCTCTTAACCAGTCGAGTTGATTTACCCCTGTCCAACTGTCCGTCTGTTATTTGAGTAACAAGAGGGCTCAATAACTACAAGGGCTTGAGCTTGATCAAGTCCATTTTCAAATATGACATGTATAGAAATTATGAAAATAAAAATAATCGAATAATTTTCCGCTAAAAGAATTATGATATTGAATAGTAAAACCTCTAAGCAGATAATGCGAAAACTTTAGCAAAGTCGGACATAAAAGTAAATCGAGTTGGAAAATGTTTTTTGTTTTCGTCATGAGCATTACTGGGTGCGTCCTTTTTTAAATGATTTTAAGAAGCTACGTAAAAACATACAAGGGTGGTCAAAAGTATTTACACTACGACCAAATACTTACAACTCGCAACTTATTTTGCTTATTATTCTTGTTGCTTTTGATTGATAGCTATTTGTACAATTCTAGAATTTCTTATTAAATTTTATGAAAATCGGACTACTAAATCATATAGCTGCCATAGAAAATACAGTTAACCGTAGAGGAAATTGTCACACTGTAAATGTAAAACTTTTAAACTGTACATATAATAAGTTTTTGCGAATGTAAGAAAAGTTGGAATTATTATATGTATATAAATATATAATTTATATTGTATTAATTATTAATGAGCGAATTGCAATCTGAAAGGGTATACAAACATAGCAGCTCAAGCATAAAATTAATAATAGTAATTAAATAAAGACAAATTTTAAAAGTATATGCGACATAAGAACCTGCTGCGCTACATGACCTTGGATATTTTAGTGCACAGGAACAGCCTCCAATTGAAAGTCGTCCCTATATGTATGATAAATTTTGGATTGCATTCAATGTTGTTGTTGATAGTTCATAAATATATTTTGATGTGAAACCTTTTATCGTACATTTTGCCTAAAATAAAAAAGATTGTTTTCGGATAATAAATATGGGAAAGACAAAACATGCAAAAGTTTGCATGATGAACTTCTGCAATATGTATATGTGTACATTTGTGTACTTCTGTAGGTGTTAATCAACATGTTCCCAGCAACAATTATCTTGAGTTGTCAAACTGTTATTTTTTTTTCATACATGTGAGCGTAATAATTAGTAATTTTTAAGTGCCTTCTTAATCGGTCACACTCGGCCAGTCGTTTTGCACTCTCGAACTGCGGGGTGCCAGAGCACAAAACACTAAGCATATTTCATGTATCCGAAGGATGGCGCCTTGTTTCGAGCAATTGATTTGCGCGGCTCTGTATGGACCAGGACCTAGGATCCAGCAAGAGACATGGATATGAATGCAGGGGGAGCTGATGAAACCTTGTGGTAGAGTCCATCCGCCATCCGCGTGGTAAATTGGGTAACGATGTTTGGGCGGCGGTATGCTCGTAATAGCGTTGCTGTTGTGCGTGCAGCGGGCTTTAAACCAAATCTTATTAGGGCAGCAAGTACGACGGACGGCAAAGAGCTAAAGCAGCTGCTCTCGACCTGTTTCGCTGCACCGCGCTAGCTTTGGAGGGATTGGCGAAGTGTTTGGACAATCAGATAACAGTATTACTTAAGCAGTTCTTTGTCGTGCCCCGAGTGGGTCCTGACACTGATGCTTTAGCGGCACCGGCAGTGGAACCGGCTTCGCCTGGCGTTCACTCCCCGCTCGCAATAGGTGCGGCTGTAAATTGTGTTGCTCTCCGCCAGAGTACCATTGCCATTCAGCAGCTTAGGCTTTGGAGGTAAAATGAGAGAGCGCACATGACAAGCGAAGGACGAGGGCAATGGCTGTAACGACTGTTACGGCTGGAAATTTTATGGCAAGTTCGGGAACACTGGAAATTTGCTTGACCTCTTCAATTATAGCAGCGCAACTTAAGAGAGCAATTTATTTATTTAAGAGCAGCGTTGAGGCGAGACCCGTCTAATTTTGGCCCTTGCTCGGAGCTTTGTTTGTGGCATCCTCGTCAGAGAAGCTTCATCCAAGCCAAATAAATCCACGTCGTTATTTATGTACCTGGCCGACGGCATATAAAATAATCCAATAAAATTAGTGTGCTGCCGGGTACAGAGCGCAGGAAGCAGACCGCAAAAAGAGCCTCAGTGCAATTTGGCAAGTGCAGCTTTCGCTCTCTTACAGCTTTCCACTCTCATTGCTACGCGCTCCGCACGGAGTATCTATTCCCGTTGGAGCTGCTTTCCGTCTCCTGGTAATCGTTTGGGTCCTACACACTACATATTCAAGCTGAATGAATCAGCTTGACTGTGAGCTGCAGAACTGCCGGGAATGCCTCCTGCATCGGTCCGTCCCTGTGCCCTATACTCTCGGATCCCATTGGAAGAGTGCTGACTCCCGACGGCTGATGCAGAAGAGCCGTGCACTTTACATCCTTCGGCGGCTGCTTTCAGTTGCAAACGGACGATTCAGGCACAGAGTCCGAATCTCGCTCGCGAACCATACGAGGCGCAAGAGTGCAGTTCAGGGGTTCCCTATAAGTAACGCATCTAATTGAACACTCGCGGACAGCTCATAAGGTTCCGTATCCCATCCGGTTTTCAGCCGCAGCGGTGCCTGCAAGTAGCTTCTAATGCCGAGTGGGCCCGAAAAACGTGCATTTGTGTCCTCGAGAGCAAGTGAAAAGCTGGAATATAACAGCCTGGGTTGAAAGTAGGAAATTTGTGGAAGTCCTGACACGCGGAATTTAAAGTTCTCTAAAACGCTTTGCGTTTGATTTGATTTAGCGAAAGCCAAAAGGGAGGCACCAGGGACACCAAGATACACTGAGGAGGCTTCGGCTGTTATGGAATTTTTTGTTTTTAAAGCGCTGCAAACTTTAGACATCAGGGCGACCTACCATTGCTTCTTTAGTCGCAAAGTTTTGGCACGTGCCTGAACTTTGCCAGTCCTGCGGCCTGCCATCCAGGTGCGGTAATAACAGTTTTGATTAATAGTAATGGGTTTATAATCGTGGAAGACTCAAACTCAATCGAAAAATCCAGAGTATTTGCCCACTGCAATCATCGCGATCCGACCGGAAACATTAACAAGACCCCGCTGCTGTAGCCCCTGGAGCAAATGCAGAATGTTGCGATATACATAATTAAGATATGATAAATTAACTTACGCCACATACTTGAGCCCCAAAGAGGTGGAGTGCCATCGAACTCAGGTAAGTCACAATTTTAGAAATGTATTTAATGACTCAGCAGCAACTTTGAATTCAATTTGTCCAGACATTTTGGATAGACCACCACTCCCTTAGGGGATGTGAGGGAAATCCTTTTCATGGGAGTCCTGCTATGACAGTTCACGCTCTGTATCTAAAATATAAACATATTAAAATTCAACAACGGTGAAAAGTAAGCAAAATGCTTTAGCAGAAGCAAAAAGCAACTATTCATCGGGAGCCGTTCAATCAATCAAGGACCACAAAGGATCACAAACTTACAAAGAGTAGCAACAAACAGGGAGCAAAGTACGAAAATAAACTAGTTTTAATTAAACACAAATAAAAAATGGCGAGGGCAAAGTCGAGGAAAGAGACGGTAGTAGCCCCTACAGAAGTGCAGGAAGGCGATTTTTGTGAATAAAGCTGGATCTATCGATTGTCACTGGGATGCGGGCTATGTTGCTCCACGACCTGGGCGGAGCAAGTGCTTCCTCTTCAGGTGAAGTGCGAGTTGAGTCGTTGTTGGAGTGCTACCAAAGAATACCTCGCAGCTCAAGTGAAAAAGCGGTTGGGAAGGAGGGGTTGAGGAGGAGAATCGAAGCGAGAAGGACAACGGCAGCGCCAACAAACAGTTTTTCTTTCTTAAGGGGATTTACAAGGATGGCACTTATAACTAATAAAATCCGCACCTAGCCAATATACTAAGCAATGGTTTTTTAGTTGGCGTTATTTTATTTATTTTTATTTTTTGTATCTAATAGCATTAACCCAATTTTTGAATTTCAGCGATATCCATGAACAATAAAAGTCATTTCTGATAATACTTCAAAGCAATTGTTTTTTATCAAAGCATTTAAAAAAAGTTACCGTATTTGTACTTTTAAAATTGCAAGTGTGGAAATTTAAAAATACAAATCGTCTATACATAACAAAAAAATATAAAATTTAACAAAAAAATAAAAATAAAGCAAGCTAAACTCGGCACTCCAAAGTTTATAATATAAATATAAATATAAATTATATATATTTATGTTAAGAAACAATAAAGTAATGCCTGCTTTCAATTCATTCACCTATTAATTTTATAATTACAGTTTTACATTTACAGCTTTCCATTTCCCCTATATCGAACGATTGTTTGTATGACAGCTACATATATGATATAGTATTCCGATTTTCATTTAACAAAACTCTAGAATTATTTAATATGGCTATATATCTTAAATAATGAGAATCTGTTGAAAATTAAAAAAGTTATACTTTTTATTGTAAAAATTTCTGATCATTCCTATGGCAGCTATATGATATAGTCGTCCGATCCGGCCCGTTCCGACATATATACGAGTGAGAGTATATAGAAGACTAACTGTAAAGTTTCGTTGAGATAGCTTCAAAACTGAGAGACTTGTTTACGTAGAAACGGACAGACGGACGACTCGGCTTTTGTTGCTGATCAAGAATATGTATACATTATAGGGTCGGAGGTGACTCTTTATGGCGTTGCAAACTTCTGACTAAAATTATAATAACCTGCAGGGGTATAATTATTACTAAAATCAGCAAGTAGCACACTAGTTCAAATGTGTACCCAGAACCCCGTCTTTATTCTGTAGACCGAAAATCGCCCCTAAAAGCGAGTCAAACGGCGAATCGCCCACATTTTGAGAAAAATGCTTCCTAAAATATGGATACAAAAAAGTTCATTAATCTAGGGAGATTCTCTCTTAAATTAAAGGTGTACTTTTCTTATATTTAGAAAGATTTTCATAGTTTTGTGGCTATTTGGTCGTCAAAAAATTGTGTTTTCATGCTGAAAATAATTTAGAAACTAAACGAAGAAAATTAAAGAAATGAGCCCTTAATTTTAGAAAAATTTTCAAAATTAGGCCTTAGAAGGCTATAAGGTATCATCTTCATTAAAAAAGTTAATTGTTAGGTGAACATGCTAACTGTCCACGGAATTATCCAATAAACAAGAAAGGAAGGCCGTCGCATATTAAAATTCGATCAATAAAAATTACAATATAAATGATAAAAAATTGTGGTAAAAAGCAGTCACCTATGTATACAATTATAGTTTTACACTCATTATCCTATGACAGTTATAAGACAGATTTTCAGAAAATTAAATTAGATGAAAATATGTTGAGGTCTGAAGGAGGTATCTCCGGTTCCATACTGTATACTGCATTTATTCTTAAACAGCATCACCAGCCGACTCCATCTATCCGTCCACCCAAACAGAACACAAAATTTAAATGCTATATAATGAATTTCGGTTTGAAGCAAAATTTGTTATCGTAATTAGATCAAAGAGGTTGTTTTCTGAAAGTTTGAAATCGATAAAGTTGGACAATAAACATGGAAGTTAAAATAATAATAATTTTTAATTTTAAAGCTGTAGTTTGGGAACTTTTATTTTAAATATTTATATTGGAATTAAATTTGTAACAACAAGATTTTGACTGCAGCCATTGGCTGCACAGCAGCAGCGAATCTAATCGGGTTTCCATAATGTTAATGTTTAAAATATAAATTTAAATTAGTATGGCATTAGTATAATATTAAATATTTTTTAAATTATTTTTATAAAAAAAGAGTGTTTTTAGAGTAAGAAATAAAAAGTTTTAGCGAATTGCGCCTCATTTTGTAGACGTAATTTTACATACATTAAGTTATGTTAAGATGTGTTTAACATATATTTAAGCAAGTAAATCATTTAAAAGTTTTAATGTTGTTATTTTGGAATGCATTCTGAGAAAACGAACAACTTTGCGGTCGTTTACAGTTACAACAACCGCAAAATATTTTTCGCGAACTTTAGCGCTGAGAATTTAGCCCGCAGGGACCTTAACATTAATTGCATTTAAATTTAATAATATATAATAAAAATATTTTAATTTAAAGCAGCTCTTTGTAAAATATTTACCGTCGTCCTATCAACAAGGCTAAAAATATTCAAAAGAAATAAGAAAAGACAGAGCAAATGGATTCTACGAAATAATTGGTTGTAATTTTAAAAGTTATAGACTACAAATATAAACGATTAGTTGAATCCGTTATTTTATTAAAGTCAATAAACAATTGCATGCTAATAGAATTTATTATTTGATTGGTATTAATGACGGAAAGGAAGCAAACATTTGGTAATTTTCGTGCGTTTGAAGATCAGAGTACCCTATGGTAATTGAGACAGACTATACGACGAAATGGCATTGGAAGCAGTAAATTTTCGCTTTGCAACGACTTATAATTGGCTTCCCAATTCGTTTTTATTCGTTGTAATTTTTCACATTTCTGTTTATGCAAATCGATTGATGGCGTTCGGCACGCAAGGCTCTGCTCAGACAAAAACAAAAAACCATATCGGTTCAATTGTGGGGCGGAAGTTATTTAAAGAGTGTGCTGCCCAATTATTGTACGAAGACTGAAATAACGAATTTTAAAATGTTGGACTTTTCAAAGTGTTGAGCAATTATTTAGAAAAATTTAGATTTAGCACTAGGTAATTACATTTATCTTTCTACGTAGAAAATTTATATTTTCTTAGTACTCTCAACTATGGAACACCACATGGCTGAAATCAATGTTCCACTTAGCAAAACATAAAAAAGTCCGAGTCTTGCCTCAACAATCGTTATGCTTAATAATATCAATATTTATCTGAAACCAAATTCAGGCACCAAAAAGCGTACATGGATTTTTCCATTTTGTCCCTAATGAGACGTTCGTATCGTCCTTTCCTCCACGACCTCCCAGATCTCGCTCTGACTCCTTCTTCCTCTCCCAGCTAGAGGCCCAAAGTCCGGCAAGCCTGGGGACAGACAAAGGCACATACATAAGCGTATTATTAATAGCCTGCATGGGAAGAAGGGCTTCCCGCGCAAAATATATTTTCGGCTTGTCCCGATTTCGGCTTTATGCTGTTGAGCAGAGTTCAGCCGTAGTCTATTCATATTCCCGCCATAATTTTCCGTAGTTTTATTAAAACAAGTAGGAAAGTTTGAGTTGAGTGTGATCGACATAAAGATACCCGCTATCTTAAGCTTTGTACGTCAATTTAAATACAGATGAACAAGGTTTATATACCCGATGATATGTCTGTAAAAATGTACACTTACATGTTTGTACATTCTAAGCGTATGAATATAAATATGATAAAAGGAAAATATAGGTACAAACATGTTGAAAACCCCAATTTTGCATATGTACGTTGTGCATTTAACATCTTTATTATTGAAGATTCCCTTTTGTACCCCGAACAAAATTTAGCCAATGGTTGACCAGAAGCTGCTATGGACCCATTTGTTACTAGCAGACCATATATTTAAAATTTCTAAACAAAAATGCAATATATGTATGTACATATGTATATTAATTCTCCCGGACGTGGCTGGGCTGGCTGTTAAACGTATTTCCGTATGCGATCTGTCTCTCTATACATTCCATATGTATACCGTTGCAAAAGATACTAACAATTTATGTCAGTCGCTTTACTCTTGGACGTTGATGCACTAAGGTCAGTACATACAAGTGGCCCGTATGACACCAGGCACGTGCCTGTTTGGGTTAGGTGTTAGTAGGCGCGATGGAAAATATAGGACAGAATACGAGGAAAATTGACTACCGGCGTGCTGCCAGATTGTTAGCTTGCATGCTTACTAAGTGTGTTAGTATTAAAGATTTTAATTTGGGAAGGGAATCTACGTTAGAGATTAGTGTGTACAAATCAGTATAATTTGCACATAACACTCTAAAAGGTTCATGCAGTTCAAAGGAGGTCCTACAGTGGCGCAACACTAATGGGATATAGGATCTAGTGGTTCTACATGGTACATGGAAATTAAGCTGACTCAACAAGTCAGCACTTTCCACATCACCATGGATAAGGTTAAAAATAAAGGTTATCCCTAGCATCGTTCTACGATTGGCTAAGGACGGAAAGTTTATTAATAGGAGTCTACTAGGGTAGGAAGGTAATCTTTGGCTTGCATCCCAAT